ATATTCCGCACACTGTGTAAAATATTATATAAATACTCGATGTATAAATGTACAGTTAAATTACAATTCAATTTAGTTAAGCTTCAAAAAATTAATGTAACCAACCTAAAACCGAAAAAAAAAACCAGTTAAGGAGTAGAAAATAATTTTAATTTTAAATCCCATAGATGAATCGAAGACTACATTAAGACTACAACTACATACTAATATTATATAGATAAATACTCAGTGATGCTCACACACTAATATATAAGTGCGGATGGGAACATGGGATCTTATAGTCTTGACACTGATTATTGAATTTGTATGACATATGAGTACGAGTAGTCAAGAGGTAATAACTTATTAAACTTAATACGTACCTGATTGATGATTAGTGATGATATACATAGTGGGTAGGTGTTTCCGAAAATAATTAAGCCTTACTAATTCATAAGTCTGTGGGCGCTACTGTAGATACCCAAATATTTTAAAATATGTTCAATTACATTAAAAAAATAACTATCTATATATGTAATATATTAATGTATTTAATTTTAATCATTCATGTGACTTAATTTAAGAGCCATGTTAGTGTTTCGTTTTTACGAGTACATAAAACGTAATACTAGGGGATTATTAGGGTCTATTTTCGTATTAGTACGAAACACAGATCCAAAATGTAAACCGACCATTGTGATGTTACAATGACTACTCTACACGTTTTGGCATTTAATCTGCTAGTAACTTCTGATACAAAGAACGGAGCTGTTATTTGTGCGTATTGTATGTCACATATATTTTGAAAGATGTACCGTGGCCATTGTGTGTGTATGTATTGTTGCAAAAAAAAAAAAAAAAAACGATGATATAGTATTATAATGGCAGAACCATTTTTCCTACTCTATTAATCTAATAACTATAATAAAATAGATCACTAAAACGAAAATATTAAATCCCGACTATTATAATACATAAAATTGCTGTACAAATGTGTCTATTTATATAATTATTATAAATTACTATGTATTCCTACAGTTTTAATTTTCCACTCTATAACAAATATATTTTGTGAATACTATTTCAATATTACATAAAACTAGCTAAGATCTACAAAAAAAAATCCAAAAACTTCGATTAGGTGTATTAACTTTTACCGTAATAAAAGATAAGTATTTTCCATTAGAGAAATAATACATTAAAATTGATATAATTTTCTTTCACTTGATGTTTAACATTTTATATTTTGAATTTTTTTGAAACAGTTATAACAGTTATTTTAGTTTTAGTTTTAGTTTTAGTTAAACTATTATTTTTGAATTCTCATAATTTTCGAAGAAAGGTCTTTCATTTATTCATCTATATTTATAGTATGTTACTTTGAAATAAAACTGCACCACCACCAGTGAGATAGACAATCATGTAGTTATATTTGTGGTATATTTAAGAATAGTTGACAATATTAGTCCTTTTCTAAGTTTCCCCAAAGAACATTCTTTAAAATCCATCTCCAGACATTTCTCTACTGTTCTGGTTTCTATTAAAAAAAAAAATCCCTCCTAATGTATGGATCAAATAGGTTTATGATATACACATATGTGAAAGACATAATAGTTTTTAAAATATCATAATTATACAATTATAACAAACATACGCATTAATGGTTATTGAAAGTAGTTGCTGAATTTACAATAGTAACCCTATATAACGATCGAATTAGTTTTATATACGAGAATTATTTAAAAAGTACAAACCGAAGTTTTTATTTTCTTTTATTCGATTTTTTTTTCCACCACTTTATATACTAGGTTATTTATTAACAACGTATTCATTCGTAATGACTACCAATTTATAATCCAATATTCAAATCTGTGGTAAATATAATTGCATTAAATTAATTGCGAATTCTTAAAAGGCATATAGTATTAATCTAAGTCAATTATTTTTAAATTAACAAATTAAGGCCTTAAAATAAATATTATTTTGCTTATTACTTTAAAATCATAATTTGTTCTTTGAATGAATAGGTATAATGCACTCAAAAATGTGAATTATTCGTTATTTTAATACAAAAAAATATACGTACAGTTAAATATTAATCTTAAATATTTAATTAATATTAAATATTAATTTAAAAAATATATTTATTTTTATAAAAATAAATAATTTTATACTGCGAGAAACATGCATAAATAAGTAATCGATAAGTCGTTAACCAAAGCCATTATTCATATAAATAAATAAAAACAAAAATCTATTAAAATAAATATTTAAAAACAATAATACGTATCAAGAAGTAATAATTTAAAATAAACTTTTAAATTTTCCAACAGGATAGATCCTTCTGGTGATATAGGTGGGAGGGAATACCCTTCCTCTGAAATTTCTTTCTTAATTTGTACGATATATAATTATTTTAAGTGTTATATCATGTCATTATTAGATAATTTTCACAGTTTCAATAAACTAAATAATTACTCATTTTATATTTTACTTATATTTAATCGACTTATTAAAATTAAAAAGTTGGAACTTATGTAGGAAAGAATTAAAAATTTAAATCTCCTTTATAAAAAAAAAAAAAAATTTCTGGCTATGTAACTATTTTATTTATTTATTTTTTTTTAATAAAATTTAATAAACAAATAAGAAATTATTTCTGCAGTCGTAGTTTAACTACTGAAATCAAAACTTTTAAGGGAAACATTCTTCAATTTTATATTGTTATAACTAAAGAACGGATTTTATCGTAAATATATATTTTTATTGGAATGCGATATTTTAAATCTGATAAAAAATAACTTATTACTATGAAGTACCAATAAGTGATTATTTATTTTATTTATTTATTTTTTATGATTTCTTTTATTAATTTGATTTTACAATTTTACACTAAATGTCTATTTTAAATTATACTTTGTATCAAAAATACATAAAAATCGTCGTACTATCTTACATTGTATAAGTGTTCTGAACATATTATTATTTTGAATTTTATTGAAATTGAATATTTTATTCAGATGCTTTATCCGACTTTCAACATCGAATATGATTTTAGAGGGAGTTTTTGACTAGTATTTTAATAGAAAATCGTCAAACAAATCTACTAGAAGTAGTTAAGATCACAATTAATATTTTGTTATATTAATTTTCACTATTATATTCATTTTATCGGACAGTTGGACAAAAACTTTCCATAGGATGCCAAACAATACGTTCATTTGACATTCTAATTATATGTAACTTAAAAATTAAAATTATGTTAAATTATGTTTTCATAAATTATTTTTACGCGCTTATATAGTATGAAAATCGAAAATAATAATGTTTCGCTTGTAAAATAATAAGATAAAAATTAAAAAAAAAAACTATTCTAAGTATATACGATAAATCGTATTATAATTTATTTCAAGAATCATTTGTGTGAATATTTTACATGAGGCACATGGATTTGTTAATAAAACCCTTGGAATCAAACTTCAACACCAAACGGAAAACAATATCTTCCACCCCTGAGCGATGCATGGAAATTAAAGCCGTAAGATAAAACCGATAGCATAAGTTTAATTTAAGTTTCTAATCGTCCACCTCTCCCCCATTCGGATTTTATACCAAGAAAATACACTACATATTCATTGAAATTTAATAGAGCATTTAATATAATATAATTAATATTGAACGTTTGATCAAGTTAATGTAATCTCACCGGATTACAAGCCGTGCATTGATCATTAGGTACTCTATTACTTTTAAACACATTTCGAAGTTAAACTTACTACTATCGATATTAAATATTACTATAAATGTACATTTAATTTATCGCACGTGGAAAAAACATGAGCTGAACGTAGTTCCTTCTCGTCAAAGTCCCCGGACGAATGTTATGAAAATGTTTACCACGCGCAACGTATAATAAGAAATAATTGAAATCAAAATCGTACACGCAGGAAACTCGTCACCTCCTGCACCGTTGACGGGATGTTTTCCAGACGTAAAGATTTCCGGAGTGTCTTGGCGCACTATGATAGTGTTACACCCTGTTCGATAATTTAATCTCACCGTTATCGATGCCACTACCCCTGCCACCGAGTCCGCGGGTTAAAATAATCTACTTCCACTTCAACATCAGTGATGTACACGTAATTTAATAATTCCATAAATATTAATGCGAATTCGTAAACGAAAAATGTTCAAGCACCTATATAGCCGTGTACAATATGGTGTTGTGTTCAAAATTAATGCCAGCGATAATAAGTGCACTCGATGAGACAAACCGATATTTACCCATTCCACCATACAATTGACTTGATTCGGTGAACACAACCGCGTCACTATATAGATTGATCCTAATTCTACTACTTTCCTACTCCTTCTACTATAAATGTTTCTACTATTACTACTACTACTACTACTACTACTACTACTACTACTACTACTACTA